TAAAACATTATTAGTTTGTTGTAACTGAACCTTAGGGAACCTGCATTTAGGTATAAAACGTCATTGCCAGACAATAACCAGTCATACGAAAGAGAAAGGCAAAATAGTGTTGAAAATATTTGACTGCATCGCTGAAAATCAGTGATGACGCCAGGCATTTGCGAAATGGGTTAGCATGTTCTACCCACGACTTGTTAAGACGGAGGTGTAATCCTCTCTTGACTACCGAAATAATGGCCATTCCGAAACATCCTCAGTAATATCAACCTATCCTAATCTTTGCCTGATTCGAGCTTTAGGGCTGCTTTGAAAACAACAGGAGAGCTGCAATAGCACACCCATAATGAACTGAGGACCCTCCAAACTATAAGTCGATCAGGGTTGCTTGGTCGTTTGTTGTTTAACGCAGCCCTCAATAATATGCCACCTATAAATTGAGTTCGGACAAGACAATCCAGTGAGTGACATTAACACCAATCCATAGTTTGGAATATGACACTGGATCAACCATGGCCCCGATCATATCAATGAATATGATATATACTACTCAAGGCGAGTTAAAAGGGGATGTTTTTCATTTGACAGATTAAACAGATTTAACAACTTTTTGTGGGAGGTTTAGCACATAAAAGGCTGGAGTAGAGACACACCATTGGTCATATCCAACTTATCGGTAACTCATTTTGGACAAGTGGTTATTTTAACTCACTAGCTTTGGCGAAAAAACAAAAAGCCAGACTACATTTTCACTAGCTTCGGACTCACGGACAACTGGCCGTGCCTGTCCCTTAAAGGGTGGAATATGATTAAGTTGAAGTCATTTTTCATTGGCACAACTCAAATTGATTGTTCGATTTTGATAGGAAAGCGACATTTTGTCACTGGAGAAGAGGCCAATTAAATTGTTGAACCCTAAGTTAATTGTAGAGATAGGAGAGCAAAGTGATAGCAAATTAACTTGGTTGATGCATGTCATTATATCCCAGTTGCGTGGATCGATGCCCATGATTCAATCACTGGATTGTCTGGTCCAGACTCTATTATTCACAGACCGCCGTCATAAATTTAGCTGGACTATTGCTGAGTGCGGCGTTAAAAAAACAGCAACAATGGAATATTGCTGACTGATGTGTTAAGCAACAAACACACATTCGAAACCCATACCTGTCGAGTTGATCATACCAATGAGACCTGTGAAGATCCGGGGTAGAATAGGTCTTCACCATGCTTGCTGTAAAAGGCGACTATGCTTGTCGTAAAAGGCGACTAACGGGATCGGGTGGTCAGGCTCGCTGACTTGGTTGATGCATGTCATCGATCCCAATTGCGTGGATCGATGCTCATGATATCAATCACTGGATTGTCTGGTCCAGACTCGATTATTTACAGACCACCATCATATAGCTGGAATATTGCTGAGTGCGGCGTTAAACAACAAACCACCACCAAATCACCACACCTATGGTTGAAACAAATGATACCATGGGATGACACTGTTCCACTTCCTTTGTGGGAAGCTTTGTATCAGATATTAATCCTTTGCCAGGTTGACACTTTTTTCTTTTCTTTTGTGAAAGGATCGGGGGAAAAGCTTGCCACAAATAAATAAATAATTTAAACTGATATTTATTTTCAAGTTAATAGAATTAGCAAAATGAAACTGATCTGAAATATTAATTGGCCAAATACATTGTATATAGTCCCTGACCACTACAAAAACTTCATAATGAGTAAATATCCTTCTCTAGCAGAAGTAAACATACATGTATATACATGTTATGGTTTAAATATCCTTAGGGATTCCGGATTGAATTGGTCCCTTGGGCCGTTGGCTAAATATCTAACATCATCATAAACCCTATAGCAACCTATAGAAGCTAAATAGATCGGGTGGTCAGACTCAGTGACTTGGTCAGTGTCGTGTCTTTGTCGTGCTGCGACGGCGTGGATCGTTGCTCAAAATACCAATCACTGGATTGTCTGGTCTAGATTCGATTATTTACAGGCTGCCATCATATAGGTTGAACACTGATGGGTGTGGCTTTAGGCAACAGACACATGTAACACAACACAAGAAGGCGGTTTGAGGATTACGTAGTTTTAATCACAATGGCATATGTACAAGTCAAAGGAAGTGTGCCGTCCTTCCTTCCTCCCTCTAGATACTCACCTGTACCTTAGGGTGCTGAGACCAAGTCTGCCGGTATTTGGAAGTCGCCCGGTAAATATATAGTAATGACGGAATGCCAAGCATTTTGTTTTGCACAGGTACTAAAATTTGGTGTGGTCAACTTGAGATTAAATTGACCATCAAGTGGTGTCCATGACGAGGCACTTAAAATTGTTCCCCTTAAGGTGACATGAAACCACCACTCACTGGTCCACTTGATATGTACTTGACATATCCACGGGGTCAGTCGTATTTGGCAAACACTGATAGTGTTACATTAGTCGTATTTGGCAAACACTGATAGTGTTACATCCGCCCCTTTCTACTTGGAAATATTGTTGATATTTCCAGGCCTCATAAGTCGATCTTAAAAATACACACAGTTCCATATATACATAAACAAAAAAAAGAGTGTAAATATTTTACAACGATCATGCTGTCCGTGACCGGACTTAATCGCTTTTAAAATGTCACTTCGTCACAATCTTGGCCCTCGACCGGCTACAGACACACCATTTTGGTCATCTGTGATCGTCAGTTCTGCGTTGTGTTCTTCTTTTCAATATATGTATTATGTTCAACTATTGATAGTCACGATATGGCTGAAATATTGCCGATGTGACTTAAAATTTAACTCACTCACTCACTCTTCTTTTCAACTTAGTTCAACTTTATGGTCGTCACCACAAGTTCCAATATGGCCGCCGTCCATCTTCGTCACCAGCCTGTTCATCTTAGTTCATGCAGCAACAATATCGCAACACTGTACTGTTTAGTAGTGGGCATCCAGGCCAGGGTACAGGCGTCGTATGGATGACGTTGTTGGAGGCGCCGAAGTCTGATCCCCCGTCATCAGTGGTGCAGGTCGCTAAGCCGCTCCTGGAGTCGGTACTCGCGACCTGGATCACATCAGATCCCATCAACTCGAATTCGGGTGTTTCCCGGGTGTGCTTTCCCCAAGTGAGCATTTTGGATAGCCAAAATTTTCTATATCTTAAAACCATTATCAATATTATTATGACTAGTAACATGATACCCCCAACTAACCACTTTTTCCAGTTAATTTTCTTATCCCAACTAATTTCAGTGTTTACACTATGTAATTCATCAATTAAATGACTCATGGATACCGTATCTATATTCTGGAGGTGGCTTGGAACTTTCGATATCGTCACATTTCTTAATTTTTCCTTAAAGGGTTTCCATAACAGCATATCTAAAACGTTTGGCATATGAGGTAGCTGAGCCCAGATCTCATTTAATTCAAACCTGCTTTCATTACGATAAAATGGTAGTAATGTCAAATGATTGTTTGAAGCTGTACAAGAGACGTTTACTCGTAACATACCTATTGGTGGGTAAATAGTTATTATCTGTGGATATACTTTTTAACATACTATAGTAAAGTCTAGTTGTTCAGCGGTCGCAATGACCCATTGGCCTTCCCAAATATTATCTGCCCTAGGCAGTATCATGTGCATGGTAACTTCCCGTTTACACAAGCTCTTGACTTTATCTAAATCTTTCATGAAGAGCGCGATCATGAACATCTGACTAAGATTTAGGGGATAAGTCGGGCTGCTTATCATGCGTGATTCTAATTTATATGTGGCAACCATGCCAGCTACTTTAGTAAATTCATGCGTTTTATCTGAGAGGAGAGGTAGTGGTAAATTATGAATTTTATAAATTTCGTATTGCCCATTATAATCTAATAGTGGAAGTGATATTATTATCAAAATCTTTTCCTCATAAACTAAGGTCGAGCATGTTAATGTTCGATAATAATTCCATAATTCCTTTTTCTGGATCTTTTGCCAGTTTATAGCCACTTGGTAAATGAATATTTATTTCACGTAATAATACTAATAATTCACTTGGAGTGACAGTGCCTGGCGACAAGTGTCCGAGTGATAGAGCATTAAATTGTAATTGGAGGTGATTGATATAAGACATCAATGTTTGTATTGTTTGTCTTACGTCTTCAATTACTAAATCTATCTTGAGATAATTGTTAGTAGCCCATTCAAGTTTATCTATACGCCCCGCAAGAATTCGGGAGATGTTTGCTACATTTACCTCTACTTCCTTGAGATTATCAATAACTGCATTAATTGTTTGTCGGTTCTTCTGAACTTGAATCCTTGTTACATTCAAAATAGTGAGTTCTTCATGAACTACATGCGATATGGTTTCTTGGTTCTTAGCAATTTTGTTGATATTGTTTTTGATTGAATTTAAATCAGACTCGGATACTGTTCCAAATAGATAACTTAAAGCATCGCCAATAAATGGGATTAATGATCGCTTTGGTCTTATCAACTTCCTGTATTCTAGAAAACTAACTTCTAGCGAACTTAGTGTATTATTTAGACCCGTAATTTCCTTGTCTAACCTGTAGAAGGTTCCTTCTACTTTGTTAACATCAGTGCTGCTATGGTAGCGACTGATCAGTCTACGCAAAACTAATGCAACTTCTTCGATATCCTTCCTACATCTTTGAATATAGTCAATATAAGGTTTCATGTCTATTACTAGTGCTACAAGCCATTTTGAACAAGTTGTAGAAATATCATTGACCTTTTGAAAAAACACGTTTTCAGAAACTAATAGACTAATAAACCACCAAAACACAACACTGTTAATATGGTAAACACACCCATTTCCTGCAAATATACAGAATAAAAAAACTATATAAAACTGTGACTAACCAAGACTACATACAACTATAATCATCAGTTGTACTCAAACATGAATACCATATATGCTCAATACCATATATACAAAACAAACAAGATATGCATGCAGTGCCCGATTATACTACGAAGCCTTATAGTAACCCGGCTACTGCCTCAAACAACTTCTTAACCTTATCATCAGGGGTTAATTGACGTGTCTCTTTAACTTCATTTACGGATACATTATCATTATCTGATGATTCACTTGATCCGTTGTCCTCCGTCGAATTGTCAATAGAGTCACGTCGCCTAGCACTCAAGCGTTTGGCAAGTTGGGCTAACGGAACGTCATTCTCTGAGTCTGAGTCTGAACGTTCCTGTCTATACCGCTTTGTGATCCTTGACATGGGATCCTTTGATCCTTGTACCTCCTCGTCCGAGGTTGATTCTGAGGATAGTGATATAACATTATGTTGTTTTCTTCGAGGTCTACCTTCTGTGTCCTTGGGAATTTCCCAATCATCTAGATTAGCAATCCTAAGATGTTCTGCATGAGCTCGTGTAGTTGATCCATCAAGCTGATTTCGTATGATGTAAGTTACTGGCGATGTTTGTTCAATAACCCTGTAGAACGGCTTCCACCTGTTCTGTAGCTTACTCTTCCTTTGATGAAATCTATAGTAGACAGGGTCGCCAACCTTGATTTTGTTTACTGCTCCTGTCGGCATATCGGGCCTGTCTTTCTTTGCTTTCTTCATGTTCTTGTGTACTAGAACGAATGCCTTGTGCTGCTGTTGCAGTGCTGTTTTATGTTCTTCGTCACCTGCATACTTACGTCTCGGTCGTAGCAGGTTGTCAACAGGAAGAACGACGTCACGATTGTACAACAAGAAGTATGGCGAAAACTTGGATGATTCACAGATGTAGAAACGAATTGCAGCCAAGGTTTGATTTAGGTATAAGTCCCATGTTGTTACGTTGTCATTCAGCTTTTTCGCAAGGACATCATGTAATGTACGATGAAATCGCTCAACTCTTGCATTGGACTGGGGGTGATAAAATGACGTCCTGACGTGGTTGATCCCTAATGCTGACAATGTTTCACTGACAACCTTGTTAATATTCTCTGTCCCGTTATCTGTGACAATCTGTAGTGGACAGCCAAACCTCGGGAATATCTCCTCTAGTATCAGATGGGCAACTGTCTCTGCTGATTTATCAGGTACTGCATACGCCTCAGGCCAACCGCTGAAGTGGTCAACGAAGCCGATGATATATTTATTCCCAGATAATGTTGTCGGATAGGGTCCTGAGAGATCCATACTTACCTTCGCAAATGGGTAGGGCGGAATCTCAGTTTCCTGCAAAGCTGGTTTCTGGGCCTTCATGGTTCTAGATTGACAAGTGATACATTTGCCGATACACTCAGTTATCTCCCTGTAGAGGTTGGGCCAATAATATTTCAGTTTTATTGCCTCAAATGTCTTGTCAATCCCCATGTATCCGTTTGCATCATGATATTGCGTGACCACGATCTGTTTGAACTTTTCGGGTACATATAACCTGGGCGATGGATCATCCTCAATTGCACTGACATAGTACAATAGATCATTTATGACTAAGTACCTTTTTAAGTGTGACTTGTCACCGTGACCTTTTTCCAGTTGTTCTTTGATGCTCGTGATGTTTTCATCCCTATCCTGCTCTTTCTGCATGTCTATATCCATTTCCATTCTGCGTGGCAATGAAGATGCCTCGGGAATTGGCAAATCGCAGCTAGCAAAATTCTTAGGGTTGAATTTGGTGGGGTTCAATGCCTCAATCCTCAGACTGTTGTCGGGTCGATCAATCTCAATGTCTTCCTCATTAGGCCCGCAGCCGTTATCTGTGTTTGATTTGCCCCGAGATAGTAGATCTGCACAAGTGTTGTTCTTTCCTGCCATATACCCGATCTTACAGGTATAGCCCGCGATTCCCAGTGCCCATAGTTTTTCTACCTGTTCACCCTCACTTTCATGTGTCTGAACCAGACACGCCCCTATACAGCTGTTACTGGCGTCCGTGTACAGAGTGTATGGCCTATTCGGGTCGGGATAGGTCAGTAATGGTACAACCGTCAGACTGTCTTTCAAGAAATCAAAAGACTTTTGACATTCTTCAGACCACGAGAATCTCGCAAATCTCTTGGTAAGTTTTACCATGGGTTCAGCAATATTTGAGAAATTGGGGATAAATCGGCGGTAATAACTGCACATCCCTATGAACCCTCGTACTTCTTTTACTGACCTTGGGGCTTCCATTGACCTAATGGCCTCTACCTTTTGGTTGTCAGGTTTTATTCCATCTTGATTGATGACAAAACCTAAGTACTGAGTTTCCTCCTTGGCAAAGCTACATTTTGACAACTTGAGTTTTAGTGAATGTTGGCGGAGTCGTTCATAAACTGTCTCGATATGAAGTAAATGTTGTTCTTCCGACTTTGAGAATATCAAAATATCGTCTAGGTAGGCTATTGCAAATGCATCGAGACCCTGTAAAACTTCATTCATAAGTTCCATAAAAACTGCTGGAGCATTACAAAGTCCAAAAGGCATCACGTTAAATTCAAAAAGACCTCTATGACAAGCAAAAGCAGTTTTTTCTTTATCTTCATCATCCATTTGAGGGGTAAAGTCGTTGAAATAGGACGGCTAATTTTGTTCAAAACCCTAAAGTCTACACAAAAACGCTTCGATCCCTATTTTTTGTCAACGTCGACAATGGGGAAACTCCATGGTGACCTAGAACGTCGAATGATCTGAGCATCTAACATGTCATCGATCGCCTTATCTACAACTTTGCGTTTGTTAAGAGGAGTTCGATATGGCTTCATCTTGATCGGAACATTGTCACCTGTGTCTATCTTCATACGTACAGTTTCTGTCTGCCCTAAGTCTAAATCACTCTTTGCAAATAAACCCTTGTTTTGAGACACTAAATCAGTTAACCTTGATTTCAAATTAACTGGAGCGTCAATGTCAACATTGAGATCACAGGATATGTCCCTATCAGCTAATTCATCGCTACGCTCCTTAGCGTCCCTAGTACGCAACCTCTCTTCAACCTAAATGTACGGTTGGTATTGTTGACTAGCAGTAATGGGACATTCCTATGTTTGTCAATCTTAACAATAGAATTTCCTATGAGTAGACCTGGTTCATTTGCTGGGTAACTCTTTTCAATTGTGGAGATTTCATACGTGCTTGATGTTTCAAAATATGGTCTATTTTTAATCTTTGCCCTTAAGATATTTCTACACTGAGGTTTTACTGTTGTATCCGCTGCTAACCTGACTAGAGAAGATATATGGATATCTTCCTCTAGCGGTACATAAGTTTTCCCTACTGTTAAGCTACCCAAGTCGAAATACACCCTAACACCTGCCTGTGTCAACCAATCGTGTCCTAATATAAGATTTCTGTTCATGTTTCCTACAACATAGAAGGTATAGGAAAGATTGACGCCTCTCATCCTAAAGTGAACTTTCACATTCCCATCTACCTGTAACGAATTCCCATTAACCCCTTGTAAAGCGACTTTCTTTTTGTTTAACGGAAATCTATCTTTTATTGAATCGTACACCCTACGATGCATTATCGACACTTCAGCGCCAGAATCAATTAAACACCTCCATTGTTTTTTTCCTATTTTGATACTACACGAATTTGGTCTCCCCACTTCATTTATTGAATGTACTGGGCCATTTGTCGCCTTCTCTCCCTCATCGGCTTCTGGGCCATTTGTCGCCTTCTCTCCCTCATCGGCTTCTGGGCCATTTGTCGCCTTCTCTCCCTCATCGGCTTCTGGGCCATTTGTCGCCTTCTCTCCCTCATCGGCTTCTTTATGAGGAAGAGAATTTAGTTTCCCTGGTTTTGTTTTCTTGGTGGTCTGTTTGGACAATTTCGTTTAAAGTGGCCCGATTGATTGCATAGCCAATATACCCTGATCTCTTGCTCTCTCTCATTAACCGCATAAACACGTTTTGATCTGCAATCCTAAGCCCGGTGACCTGGCTTCCCGCATGAGAAACAATTACGACGCTGTCTAGCATGATCAACGTCCATAGGCACTTCTCGCCTCCCGCTATTCGAATCGTGCCCTCTACTATTAAAATCATGCCCTCGGCTACTCGGTTTTCCCAACCTGAGTTCGAATCTAGCCCTAATGTTTTGTTCACGCGTGGCCGAGGCCACTGCTTCTTTGAGGGATGTGGGGTTTTCCCTCATAAGTTTTTTTCTGCATGTACTCATGACTCAAGCCATCTCTGAAAAAACCTATCAATTGTCTTTGGATGGCGGGATTATCTTCACCGTCCTGCCCTAATCCTTCATAAGCCTCTTCGGCCAAGTTTAGTAGTCTTTCAGCATAAATCTGAACACCCTCACTATGTTTTTGTTTGACCGCCCTTAAAAACATAAATGCGTGTTGTGGGTCGCTTATTTCAGCAAACCTGCTCGTTAGCTCTGCCCTTAACTCCTTCCATGTTTTGGCAGGATTATCATCCATATAGCATTGCACGAAGTCGCTTACAGCGCCATCACAACTCTGAAAAGCAATTAGCTTTTTACTGGCGTCTTGATTTGCGCCAGTTAGCAATGCATACTTTTCTACAGATTTGATCCATTTTTTTAAATCTTTCGGGTTCCCCACAAATGTTTTATAGCTTGATTCACGCCCTGTGCGCTTAGCGTTGTATTTACAGCAGCTAGCCTCCCGTTTATTTCATTTCCCTGTGCCCCTAATGTTGAAGTTACTGTTGATAACTGCCCCGTTATTTCTCCCGCTAACCCTTGTAAGAATTGTGCATATTCTGCCATTTTGCTCACTTAAGTACTTGCAAAAACCCAAAGAATCACCTTTTTGCGAGTCCCGGGACCAATTCCCTCGATCCTAGTCGTTTCCTGGGATCCCTCTCCTTCTCTCCTTAAGGTGATCCTGGTCTCGGCACCAGTTTACGTAACCCCGCCCCTTCTTGTAACACAACACAAGAAGGCGGTTTGAGGATTACGTAGTTTTAATCACAATGGCATATGTACAAGTCAAAGGAAGTGTGGCGTCCTTCCTTCCTCCCTCTAGATACTCGCCTGTACTTTAGGGTGCTGAGACCAAGTCTGCCGGTATTTGGAAGTCGCCCGGTATATATAGTAATGATGGAATGCGAAGCATTTTGTTTTGCACAGGTACTAAAATTTGGTGTGGTCAACTTGAGATTAAATTGTCCATCAAGTGGTGTCCATGACGAGGCACTTAAAAATGTTCCCCTTAAGGTGACATGAAACCACCACTCACTGGTCCACTTGATATGTACTTGACATATCCATGGGGTCTTCACGGGGTCAGTCGTATTTGGCAAACACTGATAGTGTTACATCAGTCGTATCTGGCAAACACTGATAGTGTTATGATATGTACTTGACATATCCACGGTGTCAGTCGTATCTGGCAAACACTGATAGTGTTACACACAACAATAATTACGTTGAAATATCAAACAACCTGCAGCTGTTTCCACTAAATCGAGCGACTACATTACTTAATGTGTGCAACATCTTACAAGGCAATAAGTGAACAGAGCTCACAATAATACTCCCACATTGAACATATTTCTAAGTTCGTGAACCGTAAAAACGAAGAGGATTGATATAATCCTATGGCGATTTTGCATTTAGATTGGTTGTGTAGAACAGCGTGGTCCCACAGTCATTGAATTGATTAAAAAGATAAAGGATATTTGGATAATGTTGCCAAATAAGATGTTGATCTCATCGGCGCCATAATGGGTGAGGTTATTTCATCAAACGTCTGAATTTCCTGGTCAAAAGGCGTCGAAACTGTTTTTTTATAAATTAAACTGTGTTTCATACTTATGTTGAAGTACACAATGGCTGAATATACAGTGCCAGGTAAATAAATATGTACAAAGGACATAAATATAAAACACCCCTCTATGATTAATTAGCAGGGGTACAGATAAGTTGATGTTTTGAGACATTTTTGTAATGTTATTTAAATTTTTCTGAATATATAATTTATTTTTAATTTGAAAGAATATAGGTAATAAAAGCGAAAAAACACTTTACATTTTAGTAAGACATGTCCATTGTAAGATTACGACTCTATCGTGAGGATGTGAAGAATCTCCAAAAAATATCCTAATACCATTTTTCTGTAGAAAAAATAGTGCTCTATTCTTCTTCACAAATACGGCTTATAAAACGATTAAACAAACATTCAAGAAATATTCATTCGGTTATGATAAATACCCTGAGTATCCTTCCTCAAAGCAAAGTTAGCGCATATATAGTTACGTCCTTTGATCCATGTAATCTTTTAAATTTTAGTGCATATTGTCTGCAATGGGGAAAGTAAAATCAGATATTCTCATGACACCAAACCACCCTAGTGCCTGTCTCTTCTAAGGGAGATTTATTTGCTTGTTGCTTATCGCTGCTCTCAACACTGTTCCTTTTGTAATGGAGGATTGGTATACAGCCATATAGTACTTTGTATCTGAAGTCCGTTCAGCATCATTCGAACAATGTGAACTTTATTATCAAATTGTATCACATATGTCATGTGACTGACACCAATCAGAATGAACACCTGTTTAATTAAACTTAATTAAACGTAGTTAATAGCTTAATTTCTGCACCGTAAATCATATCAAACTGTCAGGTAAATAGAAATTACACATGGCCCACTGTGGTTAATTCTGCCTCGTCGAGATGATTAAAATCTTTGGTATAAATATAGAGACACCAACCCTATCTGACAAATCATCCCGATTGTCTACAATGCTGCTCATCTCTCTGTTCGTGGTTGTGTTGGGGGTTGCTGAGACACATGGTAAGTATTTCAACCGAATTTTCTACCATAATTTTCCAACTCTTATTAGGAATAGTTCGGTGTTGACATGAAACTGCAGGTTAAGTCATAATTGTGTATCCCAGTTATACATATATTATATACAGGTAGAGACGGATCATGCTAAAAGTTGCTTTGCTCGGACAAATACACAATGTTTATGTTCATGATCATGTATGAAAGGTTACTTTAGAACTATATACTCGCCAACAGGCATATAACCATGCATATACATACGTATGTATCAGTTTTACTGTGTAGCTAGAATGTGTGTAAACTGTCGGGCACAAGACTTGTTTGATGGTTTGATGGTGACTAAACATGCTGTAATTGATATGGGTATCATAGTTGTGTTTCGGATCTCAAGTAATGTTTCGGATCTACATATATAATTTTAAGGTATGACTAAGATACCACAAGCATGGTATAAGAACACTGTATACGTTTCCCCAGAATCCAGGGTCGCAGATAATGCAGGGTTTTGCAACATTGGCGCTAATGGAGTTTTAACCATTGAGGCCACCCTTGCTCTGTGTTTGAAGGTATAGAGGAAAATATAGGTTTTTAGCTTTGGGATTTAATTTACCTACAGCTGTGATTGTTTGTCCCCAGGTGCTATGATCCCTGTCCTTGGGTCACAGGTCACTTCCTCCTCAGTCTTCACCTTCGGCTCCACGAACTTCGTTCCACAGTTTGCCGTTGACGGCGGATTTGGCACCGACTTCATCGCTGACAACACTACGTTTGCAACGGCTGTTGGAGACACAATGCCCTACATGGACATTGATCTGGGCAGCAACTTCCTTCTCGTCTCCGTCACCATCACCAACAGGGGTGACTGCTGTGGTAAGTAGAGTGAGATGGTTAGGTGTATTTATTTCTTTTAAAGACAGATAAATAGAATTACATACTGTCAAATGATCTGATTGTCCACAGATTCGTCCTCACATCATGAAACCCATATCGCCACTTTTTGGGCATTTCATCGATGTTTTGAGCTTGAAAGTAGTTCTTGCTCGATGACCTTATTTGAATATTTATTGGGTCAAATACTGAACAACAAAAGTTTTTTATCTAATCTGAAACAATTTCAGTTTGCAACAGACTCCTGTAAGTGTTCAAATGGTTTAATTTGCCATACTGACTTCAGAAAATGCGTGATTTCATAAAAATAACATGAACATGCCAAAATGTCAGTTTACAAATCAATAGCATGTGTGTCCACCTCTGGTTGCAAAGCAAGCAACACATCTTCGTCACATGGAATGGACCAGGCGTCGCACATAGTCCTGTGGGATATCTGTCCATAACTGCTGGAGCATGTTTCGAAGTTCCTGGAGTGTCTGTGGAACACGTGGTTGACGTCGAAGGCGCCGATCCATCTCATCCCACATGTGCTCGATTGGTGAGAGATCAGGGGAGCGAGCCGGCCAGGGGATGACATTCACGTTGTTTTAAATCCTGAACAAGCCGAGCAATATGAGGCCGGGCGTTGTCATGTTGAAAGGTAATGCCTGGACCATGATGACGCAAAAACGGTAGAACAAAAGGGCCGATGATCTCGTCGAGGTAGCGTTTTCCATTGAGATTTCCCTCTACCACTATCAAACGGGTCCTCTGTCTTGCTGTCATCCCACCCCATACCACAACGCTGCCGTTCCCGAACCGATCTTCTTCCATGCCACAATGATTAACGTAACGTTCACCTCGACGTCCGTCAATCGCTTAGGCTGAGGTGAAAACGAGAATCTTCAATGAATAGAACTTGTCCCCACTGCATGGCCGTCCAGCGTAGACGCTGTCTGCACCACTGTAGACATGCTTTACAGTGGATTTCTGTCAAAATTGGACGCCTGGCGGGTCTTCTGGCGACAATCCCTGCACATCCAGTTGTCTTGTCGATTATTAGTTACGCGTGACTGCCACTCCGAGGACGGTCTCTGACTGCATTCGTCTGTAGGCAACGTTACCATAAACACCAAATGTTGTTTCTGTGGACGTTAAATTGTCTTGCAACATCACTTTGACTCGATCCTGCTTCAAGCATACCAATGGCTCGCAGACGCTCATTTTCGGGCAGGCGTGGCATTTCGTAATGTTGAATAATTGCGTAATTTTGTTGTTTTTCTGAGTGGTTGTTGTCAGCACGATGCTAAACAATGCATATGGAATCCCGTTAACGCACGTGTTTTTATACCTATTCTTCGGAAGTGAAATGCATGGGACTTGCATAAAAGTCATCTTTTGCTTGGAATGCATGCTTTTCTGGAGCAGTTGCGTTTTTGTGACTTGATTCCATACATGTACTACAATAGTGAAACCAAACTTTACTTGTTTGAAATATACACTAAAATATTGGTGTCACAGGAACTTTTGTTTTTGAGTATAGTAACAAGTTGATTGGATTGCTTTTTCACATCAATAACACTATGATATTTATCACATATTACCTAAATAAATAGAACGGTGTCACGTTTAACTTTCTCTATCGTTCTCAATGCTGTTCTTTGCTACCACCAAAGCAGTCTATTCAGATTAAGGCGTGTTGGTTGACTTATTCTGCCCTTGGTAAACAGTAAGGTAGACTCGGGATGATTATCGTGGTCCCTCATAGCTGTAGATTTCTTTTACATCAGAAACATGTACAGAACTGAGATCATACAAAGCATATATATCTTCAAGAACATTCTATGGAGAGCGTAGACCTAGAATTACAACACATTCCTGCTGAACTTGATATCAGTCATCAACGCTCCAGTTCCCAAGTCACAGTATGTCCACAGGACCCTGTGTTAAACTGTGTAACCTGGCAGATTGTATGGTATGGTGTCATGCCCCGACGGCGTGGATATTTGGACCAAGTGTTCCTGACTTATACTATTTGAGGCTACCACGATATTGCTGCATAAGATATCATCATCATCACCCACTCTTTCCATCTTCGCAGCCGAGCGTTTTAGCATGTCTGAAGAAACTTATATTAGAAACAAAGGTCATTATCGACTACCCAAATTTGCATAAAAGGCTGAAAGACAATAATCGACTGAAGGGGTTGTGTTGTACATGTGTATATCTCTCCACCTTGGCAGCTGATCGTCTTCGAAACATCCGAATCGAGGTGTACAATAACGATCCAACACTCGGAGGAACGCCTCAAGTCTGCACCACAATCGGCAGCACCGCCCCTGCCGCCAGTTCCAACACCACGTTCACCTGTTCGGCCATGGCATTCGGAAGGTACATCCGTTTTAACAAGTTCAGCATGGTCGACGCAAATGACATCCTTCAGTTTGTAGAGGTGGTCCTTGATGGCGTTCCGCTAAGTAAGTATATAACTGTATATATATGATGGTAAGATGAGGCTAACAAAAATAGTATCACAAAAATAGTGCCACATTTACCTACTTTATCGGTGATATTTTCCATTCTGTTTAACTGTGAATGCTTCTAATGAATGAAAAATTAGTTCTCGTAAAAAGAATGCCGATGCAATGTTAAAAAATGGCCACTCAATAGAAACATTGAAAGTATTCGTGTGTTCTAGTGGAAGCAAGCGCCATGCGATTATAAATACACTTGACGACACGGATGGCTCAGTGACTTCCAGTTTTCAGATCGATGTTCATGATGTCAATCACTGGATTGTCTGGTCCAGACCCAATCATTTATAGACCGAGGTCATATAACTTGAATATTTCTGAGTGTTACATTAAACAACAAACAAATGGCCTTGGATTCGAGCGAACGTTCAGAGGATCAGCAAGGGGTCGCAACTATCGACGGTGAACTCGGAGTTTTTGACCATTGGGCCACCCAAGCGCTGTGTTTGGAGGAAAAGAGGAAACTATAGGTTTATATGTTTTGAAATGAGATTTACCTACAGCTGTGATTGTTTGTCCCCCAGGTGCTGTGATCCCCGTCGGCGGGTCACAGGTCTCTTCCTCCTCAGTCTTCACCTTCGGCTCCACGGACTTCGTTCCACAGCTTGCCGTTGACGGCGGATTTGGCCCCGACTTCGTCGTTGACAACACTACATTTGGAACAGCTGTCGAAGACACTATGCCTTATATGGACATCGATTTGGGCAGCAACTTCCTTCTCCGCTCAGTCACCATCACCAACAGGGCTGACTGCTGTTGTAAGTAGAGTGAGATGGGGAGGTTGGTTTAACGCCGATTTGAACAGTATCTTAAAAAGTATGTTAAAGACGGCGTTTCAGTTCAATGCAGGAGGAAAGCCAATAGAGATCAAGCCTGGTTTTGCCACTTGAATGGATCCAAAAATAACAAACAAGGCGAATCTGTCATACCAAGTCACGATCAGCAGATCGAGGTACGCCGAAGGGATGCAATTCTTGGCGGATTGCAGGAAGCAGAAGTCCCCATGGTCCCTAGTATGGTTGCCTAACTTTAGTTGCTGGTGATCTCTAGCCCATTTTTATTATGTATTGTTTAGAATAGTCACATTTTTATGGTAACATACTAATTTTAAATCTATATCTGTGATATTCTAGTGCTTTTACTGTCCTTTGTCGACAGATTTCAATGTCTATATCAATGTATTATTACTGTATAATTTGATTTAGTCACTATATGGCTGAAATATTGCCAACGTGACTATAAATGTTAACTCACTCACTTGACGAATTGTGGCATTCATTTGAAGTAACCCTATGATGTAGCGTTGGCCCTGTTAGATATTCATCAATGTAAAGCAAATATTCACCAATAGGCTTCAACGATTCTCAGTCGAAGAACCAGAAGCATATATTTTGGAAGAGCTTGAAATCAGACATAAATAAATGCAAACATACACAATTGATTCCTTTTGGCCAGGGTTGATACCCATGTAGTGTGTAAAATATCACGGTGGGAGATGTAAACTGCGCATGAATACAATGCTTGAGTGAACCGCCCTATTAATCATACATTAACAGACATAATGACACTCCTATCGTAACTAAATGGCCATTATATCGGTGTAAAGCACTTGATAGTAGTTCCTGCTAGATAACCTCATTTGAATATTTATTGCATCATGACAAGTTTGTCCGATTTCGCAAGTCACAATATGACTCCAGGACCCCGTGTTATACGGAATTGACTGGTAGATTGTTGCCCTGGCCCAGACTAATTGAGACTACCTCGTTGTTTTTGTTCAGTAAGACATTATCACTAAATCATCCGAAAATTCACAGCCGAGCGTCTTCGAAACATCATCATCGAGGTATATGACAACAACGCAACTCTTGGAGGAACGCCTCAAGTGTGCACCACAATCGGCAGCACCGCCCCCGCCGCCGGGTCGACCACGACCTTCAACTGCACAGGGACGCCAATCGGAAGGTACATCCGTCTTAAAAAGAGCTCCAAGGTCGACGCTACTGATATCCTTCAGTTAGTAGAGGTGGTCCTAGAAGGCGTCCAGCTACGTAAGTATATGACTGTATTTATCTGATGGTAAGACAAATGAGGATAAAATAGCATCACATGGTAGTTTCATTTATCTACTTGTAATCCCTGGTTTTCCAGGTGTGTGATCCGACTTGGTTGCACCAAAGTGTACGCACCTACTTAGTGCAGTCATTGTTATAAAGAAGTTGTATATCCATTGAGTGAAATACTTGTTAGGACGGCGTTAAACCCATCTCACTCACTCCTCCACAGAATGTCCTTGCAACCACTTCCAGCTGGACGAGAACTGTTTCTACTTCTCTGGATTCCAAGCAAGCTATGCCGACGCGAAGGTAAACAACGACACCGCTTTCCTCCCATATTAAGCTGACACGCCGAGATATAACTGGAATACTGTTAAAAGCGGCCTTAAACCAAACTCACTCACTCACTCACTTAAGGGTGGTCGGAGGATACGTTTGGCCCAATGGGTAAGGGACCTTTATTCAAAGAAAGTTGCGTCCCATGGCCAAGCCAGCATTATGTAGTTTGGACTGAAATCTCAGATACCGAACCTTTCTCGTGGGTTGAACAAAATATGTCAACGACTAAACCCTGCGTCTGTCCTGGCTTGCCTCTCACGACCTGAACCAAACTCACACAATCAGTCACTCAATCACTCACTCACACACTCAGTCATTCACTCACTCACTCTCTCTCAATAACTGAGATAATGTTAAACTATGCGTTAAACCAGATTCACTCAATAACCTTTAGTGTATTCAGTACTCTAGGATGATACTTTGCGTGTTTGAAGTCTGAATGAATACTGAAGTACAGAGATTCTTGTTACAGGAATACTGTGACATCATCGGAAGCAATCTGGCCATGATCCGAACCCAGGCTCAGAGCGACTTTGTCAACGGTGTTCTCGCTGCAAATGCTAAAAAAGGTAATTCATAGCTCGCTTATACTGTTTCGTGGCCATTCTATATCCAATTAACAGAACAACAAAGGTTTCCACTTGGACCTGTGGCAGTGTTAGATAACAGTATGAGTTCCACCCAAGAAAGCGTTTTTATCAACGGGGTCTATGATAAAAGGTTATGTTTCAGATCAAATCAATTTCAATTTCGATTTCAGCGGTTCACACACGGTACAGGTAAGGCTCGTCTTTACCTGGACGAGACATAGGCCCAGACATCAGCTCCCTCTTTAGGCTAAGCTATGCATCATCTAACTGCATCTTTTTCTCTTGTCCTCATTTGCAGGACTTCACGAAATAAACATTAGCGACGATTAATTGGATCTGGAGGTCAGTCTCGGAGAACTTGTTGCTTGTCAATGTACCCTGACGTCGCGAGATGTTACTGATAACATCAACCACTCGTTGGTCTGGCTACGAGTGGATTATTTACCGCCCACCATGTAATGGCTTAAGAGTTACACACTTCATATTTTCTGTCACTCAGGTCAAGAATACTGGATTGGGGTGACCAATCTTTTGGACCGGTTCCAGTGGCGATATCTGCTTGGTGACATTGTTCCCCTAAATGGCTTCACCTCCCCACTCGTGAACGGCACGGGCACTTGCAGCACCTCTACCTCTGAGAAGCACCCACATAACTGTGCCGTCCTGGAGAAGAACGACGCCGGCCAATGGGAGTGGGAGGAAGAACGGTGTTACAGGAAGGAGAACTTCATCTGTCTGGCAACCCTGCCAATACCTGCGCCCTAGGTTCTTTAAGGATACACGTATTGGTAATTTAGTTTACAGTCGTCATGATTAAGGTATCTTGTCTAAAATAGGTTGTAATAAATTCATCTGTCTACAAAAGTAGTGTCCAACCTAAGATCATTTGAAAAGTAATCAAATCAATCGTACAAAGGCACCTCTAAATACAATCATTGTGTTAAACACACCTACTATTATACCAATGTACTCGTAAATAAAGAATTACCAATATCATTGTGTTGTGTTATGGTCGAACACTGGTTGTATTATGATATATTTTAGTGAAATAACAAATTGACATGTGTTAGTCAAAAAAAAGTTAAAGAACACCCGATTCTTTCATCATAGTTAATCGTGTTTCCTTTACCTTCTTTTGAGAAGGATATAATACTAATACAACACACATAAGCTTTGTTAGCGTGTGACGTAAACTCTCAACAAAACTGAATGATGAAAGGGATGAACTTTCATTTTGTGCCGAGCAATATTCCAGCAGCTCCAGTGTTTGGTGTCTACTTTTTACTTTAGTTGTTTGATCAAGATTACAACATTCAAATCTTAAGCAACGCTTTCAAAATGGTTTATGGAAGAAATGTGGAGGATATTTCCATATTTGATGTATCAGTGACAAAAATATGGCCGGTTTCCTATTGTGACTTGTGTCATATGTTTCCGTGTTTTTAGGGACCAATTGACTTGCCTTTGCGTGTGTTGTGATTGGTGGAGCAGGAAACGCTCACTTTTTCGCAAACACCTAATGTCGTCACTAATTGATATTGATTCATCAACATAAACATGCTGATGATACAATCTGAATCGTAAAATCTATTCAGCATTTGGTCGAGATTGGAGTGTTTCTGTGTCGGGAGGTCGATCCCGACCCCAGGCCTCATCATACCAAAAGATATGTATTGTTAAGATAAGTATGTGTTGTTACCTTGCCTGGCGCTCGGAATTAACAGGCGAAAACAAGGACTGTTTGGCTACTCTGTCTGAGTTGGGTATTCATGTTAAATTGCGGCATGATATTTCAGTGGGCTGGCATTATATAATCGTCAATGATCCGGATTCACACACAGACACACACAGACACACACACACACACAAACACACACACACACACACACACACACACACACAGAATCTCACACACACAGAATCTCACACACACACACAGAGTCTCTCTCACACACACACACACACACAAACAAAAAACAACAACACATACACACACAAACACAAACACTCACTCATTCACTCTACATTGAAAACACGGTATGTTTATCTCCATTTTACCATGACTAAATAAAACGCAAACTCTTTGGTGGTAGCAATTGTACACACATGAGGTGGGCACGCCTAAAGAAAATTAAGCAAGCTTTCCAAAGTTTCCGTTCTACACTGCACGTCACAATTATGACGTCATGTCGCTCATTGTGACGCAAACGATATGATGTGACAGTTGTATATAGAGAAACGCCAAATTCCAAGTTATCTGTTGTCCCCAAAACTTAAAATATATTCTCTTTGAAGATTTCTGTCGTGTTTTCTGCACGAAATGTATTGCCACACATCCTTTGAATATTGTTATTACCTCAACTATGCAATTTGTAAAATAATTATTTAAATATGCCTACCGACAATGACTGAAAAAAGGACTATTCTATGAATATTAGCTTCTGCAGTTTTGCGGCCGTCAAATCAGCTGTTTCAATCAGAGGGGGCTTATAGTAATTTAATAGCCTCTGATTGACCAGACAAAATCGAGTAATTTCAATATGCATGTTAGAATTATCATTATGAATATGGACAGTTTTTTGTCACTTTTATATTAATATTCAAGACGGTATAGATAAAAACAGCTAATCTGTCAATACCAACGTGCTAAGAAAGACCTTGCTTACCGCCTATTAGTAACTTTAGTTTGTTTGTTTGTTGTTTAACGCCGCACTCTGTAATTATCCAGTTATGTGACGGCAGTCTGTAAATCAGACAATATAGTGATTGACATCATAAGCATTGATCCACGCAATCGGGATACGATGACAAGCATCAACCAAGTAAGCGAGCCTGACCACCCGATCCCGTTAGTCGCCTCTTCCAACAAACATTGTCGCCTTTTACGGCAAGGCCTCTTCTACCTCGGATCTTCACTGATCTGAAAATCACGGTACAAGAGCAATAACTCTGTAAAAAAATTACGGTACCAATTTTGACAAGTCTTGACAAGAATCTTTTAGATAAGCATGTACACTTTCATTCATGTAACTGTTGTAAGAGAAAACATGTTACCATTTCACACAGCATGCACTAAGTTCAAAAGCACGAAGCAAGGGCAATAATACCATTTACCAAACTCTTTTAAGATCATAACAAGTAAGGTGAGTGTGTTAAATTTCATTTGTCCAACTTCAATAGTCTATAAGAAAAATGTCCCCATTGTGAAGTGGGCATGCATACAAATGACACATATATTGTTCTTCGTGGCGGGGATAAAACATTATTAGTTTGTTGTAACTGAACCTTAGGGAACCTGCATTTAGGTATAAAACGTCATTGCCAGAGAATAACCAGTCATACGAAAGAGAAAGGCAAAATAGTGGTGAAAATATTTGACTGCATCGCTGAAAATCAGTGATGACGCCAGGCATTTGCGAAATGGGTTAGCATGTTCTACCCAAGACTTGTTAAGACGGAGGTGTAAGCCTCTCTTGACTACCGAAATAATGGCCATTCCGAAACATCCTCAGTAATATCAACCTATCCTAATCTTTGCCTGATTCGAGCTTTAGCGCAGCTTTGAAAACAACAGGAGAGCTGCAATAGCACACCCATAATGAACTGAGAACCCTCCAAACTATAAGTCGATCAGGGTTGCTTGGTCGTTTGTTGTTTAATGCAGCCCTCAATAATATGCCACCTATAAATTGAGTTCGGACAAGACAATCCAGTGAGTGACATTAGCACCAATCCATAGTTTGGAATATGACACTGGATCAACCATGGCCCCGATCATATCAATGAATATGATATATACTACTCAAGGCGAGTTAAAAGGGGATGTTTTTCATTTGACAGATTAAACAGATTTAATAACTTTTTGTGGGAGGTTTAGCACATAAAAGGCTGGAGTAGAGACACACCATTGGTCATATCCAACTTATCGGTAACTCATTTTGGACAAGTGGTTATTTTAACTCACTAGCTTTGGCGAAAAAACAAAAAGCCAGACTACATTTTCACTAGCTTCGGACTCACGGACAACTGGCCGTGCCTGTCCCTTAAAGGGTGGAATATGATTAAGTTGAAGTCAGTTCTCATTGGCACAACTCAAATTGATTGTTCGATTTTGATAGGAAAGCGACATTTTGTCACTGGAGAAGAGGTCAATTAAATTGTTGAACCCTAAGTTAATTGTAGAGATAGGAGAGCAAAGTGATAGCAAATTAACTTGGTTGATGCATGTCATTATATCCCAGTTGCGTGGATCGATGCCCATGATTCAATCACTGGATTGTCTGGTCCAGACTCTATTATTCACAGACCGCCGTCATAAATTTAGCTGGACTATTGCTGAGTGCGGCGTTAAAAAAACAGCAACAATGGAATAGTGCTGACTGCTGTGTTAAGCAACAAACACACATTCGAAACCCATACCTGTCGAGTTGATCATACCAATGAGACCTGTGAAGATCCGGGGTAGAATAGGTCTTCACCATGCTTGCTGTAAAAGGCGACTATGCTTGTCGTAAAAGGCGACTAACGGGATCGGGTGGTCAGGCTCGCTGACTTGGTTGATGCATGTCATCGATCCCAATTGCGTGGATCGATGCTCATGATATCAATCACTGGATTGTCTGGTCCAGACTCGATTATTTACAGACCACCATCATATAGCTGGAATATTGCTGAGTGCGGCGTTAAACAACAAACCACCACCAAACCACCACACCTATGGTTGAAACAAATGATACCATGGGATGACACTGTTCCACTTCCTTTGTGGGAAGCTTTGTATCAGATATTAATCCTTTGCCAGGTTGACCCTTTTTTCTTTTCTTTTGTGAAAGGATCGGGGGAAAAGCTTGCCACAAATAAATAAATAATTTAAACTGATATTTATTTTCAAGTTAATAGAATTAGCAAAATGAAACTGATATGAAATATTAATTGGCCAAATACATTGTATATAGTCCCTGACCACTACAAAAACTTCATAATGAGTAAAAATCCTTCTCTAGCAGAAGTAAACATACATGTATATACATGTTACGGTTTAAATATCCTTAGGGATTCCGGATTGAATTGGTCCCTTGGGCCGTTGGCTAAATATCTAACATCATCATAAACCCTATAGCAACCTATAGCAGCTAAATAGATCGGGTGGTCAGACTCAGTGACTCGGTCAGTGTCGTGTCTTTGTCGTGCTGAGACGGCGTGGATCGTTGCTCAAAATACCAATCACTGGATTGTCTGGTCTAGATTCGATTATTTACAGGCTGCCATCATATAGGTGGAACACTGATGAGTGTGGCTTTAGGCAACAGACACAACAATAATAATCAAACACCCTGCATCTGTTTCCACTAAATCGAGCGACTACATTACTTAATGTGTGCAACATCTTACAAGGCAATAAGTGATTATTTACAGGCTTCCATCGTATAGGTGGAACATTGATGAGTGTGGCTTTAGGCAACAGACACATGTAACACAACACAAGAAGGCGGTTTGAGGATTACGTAGTTTTAATCACAATGGCATATGTACAAGTCAAAGGAAGTGTGCCGTCCTTCCTTCCTCCCTCTAGATACTCACCTGTACCTTCGGGTGCTGAGACCAAGTCTGCCGGTATTTGGAAGTCGCCCGGTAAATATATAGTAATGATGGAATGCGAAGCATTTTGTTTTGCACAGGTACTAAAATTTGGTGTGGTCAACTTGAGATTAAATTGACCATCAAGTGGTGTCCATGACGAGGCACTTAAAATTGTTCCCCTTAAGGTGACATGAAACCACCACTCACTGGTCCACTTGATATGTACTTGACATATCCACGGGGTCAGTCGTATTTGGCAAACACTGATAGTGTTACATTAGTCGTATTTGGCAAACACTGATAGTGTTACATCCGCCCCTTTCTACTTGGAAATATTGTTGATATTTCCAGGCCTCATAAGTCGATCTTAAAAATACACACAGTTCCATATATATATATACAAAAAAAA